TTGTTACTCAGGGACAGACACAGAATTGTTACTGAGGGACACAGAATTGTTACTCAGGGACACAGAATTGTTACTGAGGGACACAGAATTGTTACTCGGAGGGACACAGAATTGTTACTCAGGGACACAGAATTGTTACTCAGGGACAGACACAGAATTGTTACTCAGGGACACAGAATCGTTGAATTTAAAGAGTATGTCAGACAACATGCAGAGGAGTGGCAGAGAGGCAATGTTTTAGGAGCGGGAGCAGACGTGGCAGCAGAGGAAGGGGTCGAGGCAGCACTAGTCACAGCCAGAGGCCAGCAAAGTGCTCCCGGTGTCATCCAGCGGTCGTGTCTCCACCGACAACCCTGCCGTCATCGATTGGTTGGCTCGGTCGTCTTCCTCTTCCCAGGTCACCTCTGACACCTACAGCCAACGGTCGGTGGGTACGTCAGACACAACCGTTAGTTGGCATGGCCCGGGAGCAAGCCCACTGAAATCACGTGTCTCTACCTGCCCCTGTCCTTTGGTGTTCCTCACCAAGCAAAGTATCGCATGCTGTGGGCTCAGCCCCACTGTACAGTGAGGAAGAGCTAACAGAGGGGGGGTCAGGAACGGGGGAGACATCCGCCTCTTCAGCAGCCAGGCGAAGAAGTAGTGGCGAGGAGAGTGGCTCGGTAGCCGGTCTAGAGGACAGGTCTGTCTCCTGACCCACACGCAGCCGAGGGGGATTGTTTAAGTGAGGCGGAGACCCTAATTGATGATGATGAGGCTGATCGCACTTGGCAGCCTCGTCGTCATCAGGCATTGCTTCCGCATCATCAGGAGAAAGAGGGTGCCAGCTTGGCAGCGAGCAAAACAGTCGGTGGGTTGCCCAGGAGGCAGCAGGGTCGCAGCAGTGTCAGTGGAGACAAACGGCCATGGAGTACAGCACCAGCTCCACTGCAGCCTACCACCACGGCCAGTAGTGGTGCCGGTGTGCACGGAGGAAGCAGCAGTCAGCCAGTGAGGAGTATCAGGGGCAAAGTTTCCTACTCGGCGTTGTGGCAAGTTTTTTTGTCAAGCCGCCGAGGAAGTAAACGTAGCCGTATGTCGACTATGTGGCCAGAAAGTCAAGCGTGGCCAGGGGCCCATGTTGGGACTACAGCGTTGCGTCAGCATATGCAGCGTCGCCAATTTGGGTGGCCTGGGAAAACCGTGATAAAGATACGGCGGTTCTGCCTGCCCCAGCCCCCGCTCCATCACCCGCTTCCGTTTACTTGCTCCGTCACCCGACGTCAATCGCCCTCTATCAGCCAGTCCAAGGCGCCCAACACCTTTGCTGAGGGAGTTGTCGCTCGTTGGCATCTTCCGCTTCGTTTCTGATGCTTCCTTCTCCTGCTACTCCACTCTTCACGGATTCCGTCAGCAGTCTTTCTTGGAAATCCGTTTCCAAGAGACAAACAGGTTTGCGAGCACGCACCCGACGGTGCAAAAGCTGAACGTCCTTTCCTGTCCAAGTTGCTGGTGCTGCAGTCCCCTCCCTTTCCAAGTGGTGGACTCAGCACCTTTCCGAGAAATGATGGCTTGTGCCGCGCCGCGGTGGAGAGTGCCAAAGCCGTCATTTCTTCGCCAAAAAGGCAGTGCCAGCCCCTGCATCACATGTAGAAGAGATGGTGGGCCAGTCTTTGAGCATGTCCGGTCTCTGCCAAGAAGTGCACGGCAGCGCCGACGTGTGGAGCTGTAACTACGGTCAGGGACAGTACATGTCATTTACGGCCCACTGGGTGAACGGGTGGGCCGTCACAGCCGCACCAGCAACTTGGATAGGTCACGCCGCTTTTGCCTCACGTTTGCACGTCCTTGTGTCCGGCAAAGATGTCCGCCACTACCACCTCTTCTTCCGCCGTGTCCTCAGCCGGCCACCCCCGTGCCAAGTTCCCATTACCCGACCGGCATATCACATGTGCAGGGCGCAACGGTGTCACGCTGTGCTGCATCCTGGTATGCCTGTGGCGAACGTAGTCACTCACAGGGGAGGAAACTTCTGAGTGTAAGGTGAACAGAGAAATCGACAGATGGCTGTCTCCGCGCAAACTGAAAATCGGAACCATGTTGACCGACAAGGAAAGAAACATGGTGTCTGCTCTGCGTCAAGGAAGGTTGTGCCATTGCGCCATGCATGGCTCACCTGTTCAATCTGGTTGTCAAGCGGCATCCTAAAATCCACCATCCCACAGCAAGACATCCTTAAAATGTCACGGTAAACTTTGCATGCATTTCAGCCATTCCTACACCGCGCAAAGCACACCCTCCTTGAGCTGCAGCGGCAGCCAGACGGAATTCCACAGCATCGGCTGAATCTGCGACGTTGCAACAAGGTGGAATTCAACCCTACACATGTTAGCTACCAACGCCTTTACGAACAGCGTAAGGCCATCACCGATTTCCTGATGTTACAAGCGGATACTAAGTAACTCCCCTGTGTAAACTTCATGTCAGCCAGTGGCAGCTCATGCGTGACAACCTGCTCTGCCGCTTGCTCAGGCCCTTTGAGGAGGCCACGACTATTCGTGAGTCGGCAGGACAATGGATGTGGATGAACGACGTCATTCCTCTGTTGCACGTCCTGGAACAAATTGCTGTATTAACAATGCTGGTAAGGGTGTCGGATAGACATGGCGCACAGATCTCAACGCCACATATGACCCCTGTGGGGGGCGGGACAGGAAGAGGAGGAGGTAGAGGAGGACATTTGTGCTCAGGAATTATTGAGTGAAATGGGTGGTTTTTTTCCACTCAGCGGACAGGAGTGGAGGAGCAGGAACATCGGGGGGTAGAGTGAGGAGGAGGAGAGACAGAGGACCCAGCGCGCACCGTGGCAGTATGCTGTGGAGATGGAGGCAGGATAGAGAGGCCCCTCGCATTCCTTGGCACAAATGGGCCCATAGCCTGCTCGGGTTGCTTGCGTAGCGACAGCCGAATAATAACATCAGACAGAGGATGACTTTTGGCTGTCCACCTTGTTGGACCCTCTGCTACCAAGTTCAAAAATGGTGGCATTTTTTTCACACCTGCTGAGAGGGAGCCAAAATAACGTACTATAAAAACCACCACCTATGTAGTCAGTTGGTCTCTGCCTTTGTGCGCCAACATCCATCTCCGCGGAGACACACGACTGTCCCACCCAAAGTGTGGAGAGACTCACGGTTTCTGTGAAAATGAATCAGGCGTGGATTAGTCCTGGATTTCAAACCACCAGTTCCTGACACAACTGACTAAATCCGCCATGAACCATGCCCCAAACATGTGCCACTTTCATGTCTCCTCACACTGCTGTGTTGTTCCATTTTTTTGTGCATAGGGTGCTGGCAGGTTTACGGGCCTCCCATATAGCTGTGCCAGGCCAGTAATCTGCATGGGCCCCTATACCGCCTCCTCATGCTGCTGCCAGGTCCAGAGATCTCTCATGGTCCCTGTACGGCCTCCCATTGCTGCTGTCTCCATCGCCACACTCTGCCATGTGCCACTTTTCAGGTTCTCCTCACACACTGCTGGTGTGTTCCATTTTTTGTATAGGGTGCTGGCAGATTACGGGCCTCCCCATTGCTGCTGCCATCCCCTAATTCTGCCATGGGCCCCTTGTATCTGTGCCGCCTCCTCATGCTTGCTGCCAGGTCCACAGTGTCTCATGCCATGTGCCACTTTCAGGTTCCTCACACACTGCTGGTGTGTTCCATTTTTGTCATAGGGTGCTGGCAGATTACGGGCCTCCCATAGCTGCTGCCAGGCCCCTAATCTGCCATGGGCCCTGTACCGCCTCCTCATGCTGCTGCCAGGTCCACAGTGTCTCATGCCATGTGCCACTTTCAGGTCTCCTCACACACTGCTGGTGTGTTCCATTTTTTGTCATAGGGTGCTAGGCAGATTAGCGGCCTTCCATGCTGCTGCCAGGCCCCTAATCTGCCGTGGGCCCCTGTACCGCCTCCTCATTGCTGCTGCAGGTCCACAGTGTCTCCTGTACGGCTCCCATTGCTGCTGTCTCAGCCAAATGTGCCACTTTCAGGTCTCTCCACACACTGCTGGTGTTTTCCATTTTTTGTCATAGGGTGCTGGCAGATTACGGGCCTCCCATAAGCTGCTGCCAGGGCCCTAATCTGCCCATGGGCCCCTATATCGCCTCCTAAGCTGCTGCCAGGTCCAGAGTCTCATGGTCCCTGTAACGGCCTCCCATTGCTGCTGTCTCCATGCCACACTGCATGTGCCACTTTGGTCTCTCACACATGCTGGTGTGTTCCATTTTTTGTCATAGGGTGCTGTGCAGATGGGTCCCATAGCTGCTACAGGCCTCCTAATCTGCCATGCTGTACCGCCTCCTCATCTGCTGCCACACAGTGTCTCATGCCAATGTGCCACTTTCAGGTCTCCTCACACTGCTGGGTGTTTTCCATTTTTTTGTCATAGGGTGCTGGCAGATTACGGGCCTCCCATAGCTGCTGCCAGGCCCCTAATCTGCCATGGGCCCCTGTACCGCCTCCTCATGCTGCTGCCAGGTCCAGAGTCTCTCATGGGTCCCTGTACGGCCTCCCATTGCTGCTGTCTCCATCGCCACACTCTGCCATGTGCCACTTTCAGGTCTCCTCACACACTGCTGGTGTGTTCCATTTTTAGTCATAGGGTGTGCTGGCAGATTACGGGCCTCCCATTTTGCTGCTGCCAGGCCCGTAATCTGCCATGGGCCCTCGTACCGACTCCTCAGGTGCTGCTGCCAGGCCCGTAATCTGTCATGGGCCCCTGTTATCGCTTGTTGGCATATTCGCTCGTTCAGATGCTCCTTCTCCATGCTACTCCTCTTCACGGATTCCGTCAGCAGTCTTTCTTGGAATCCGTTTCCAAGAGACAACAGTTTGCGAGCACGCACCCGACGGTGCAGAAGCAGAACGTCCTCCTGTCCAAGTTGCTGCTGCCAGGCTCGTAATCTGTCATGGCGCCCCTATTACCGCCTCCTCATGCTGCTGCCAGGTCCAGAGTGTGTCATGGGCCCCTGTACCGCCTCCTCATGCTGCTGCCAGGTCCAGAGTGTGTCATGGGTCCCTGTACGGCCTCCCATTGCTGCTGCCAGGCCCGTAATCTGCCATGGGCCCCCGTACCGACTCCTCATGCTGCTGCCAGGCCCCGTATCTGTCATGGGCCCCTGTACCGCCTCTCCTCATGCTGCTGCCAGGTCCAGAGTGTGTCATGGGTCCCTGTACGCCCTCCCATTGCTGCTGTCTCCATCGCCACACTCTGCCATGTGCCACTTTCAGGTCTCCTCACACTGCGGTGGTTTCCATTTTTGTCATAGGGTGCTGTATGGCCTCTCCATTGCTGCTGCCTCCACGCCCACACTGTGCTCCTCACTCTGGTTTTGGCCCCGTGACTGCCCAAATGAGTGAAGTGTGCGGTGATTCTAAGATCGACGGCACTCATCTGCATGTCATACTGACTGTCAGTATTATTTCTCTTTCCCCAGCAGACTCCAGGGCATTTAAATTAAAGGTACAGTGTTCTGCACTAATTATAAAGGCTCTCTGAAGCCTAGAAACAACCCTTTTATAAGTTTAAATTCGCAGCGAATATATTCGACTCGAAATCGAAATTTTTTCACGAATTCGCCGAATCAGTCGAATCGAATTTTTGAATAATTCACTCATCTCTAATTGTAATTCAGCAGGGGCATATTTCAGCTTGGATATATATCTCACTTAAAAAAGTATACAGAATACTAATAATATAAGAAGTATTATAAATACGCCTTGTGTTGTCTCGCAAATCTCCAATATGAATATTCAATTGCTGAGATTAAGAAATGAGAGCCAATAACAGACATTTTTGAAAAAAATATTTATTGGTAGCCTTTTTTGCTAACGGTTTTTTGAAGGGCAGCTGTAGGCATCATCCTGGTATAAACATTCAAAGTCCAGTGACGTACAAGTATGTTGCTGGTCCTTGTTGGCATATATAGTATGTAATGTACTTTTTTTTTCAAGAGAGTGTTATCTCTGAAATATGCATGAAGTGCATTATCGTCTCATATCTATTGGACCAATATGACTGCAATTCATTCTTTTTTGTAATGCCTATGTTGAGAGTTAGGCCCCAAAAAGTTTTACATTCGGAAACCATGATAGGTTTTCATGCGAATTGTCTGGCAAGAACTGAATTTGGGTGGGTGCCGATTTATTGTTGTTTGTGTTTAAATTGCTTTGGCTCACTATCAGTTGATACAAATCTTCAGTGAAAAACAGCAGAAGGGATAAACGCTAGTGCTGACAGCGAACGGACCTGGTCCTGCAAACATTGGGGTTTTGGGGACACTATACCAAGGGGGCACTAATATAGTTCTGTTTGTGATCAATATAATAATCCGTACAAACACTATACTAGTAGTGGCGGTGATCAGTGACCTATAGCGTGAGTGTGATAGTGTGTGGAGAATCTAACGCTAGCTGACTCTGGCTGGGAGGGGCGCTAACTGATCCTGACGCTATCTGATTTGCTAGTGGCAGTAATACAGTGATCAGTGAAAAATTCTATAAATTGACACTGTACTAATTGCACTGGCTGGGTGAATCAAAGGGTTAATAGAGGCAATCAAAGGGTTAAATGTGCTAATCTAATGTGTGTGTGTAAAATGTAGGGCTTTTACAGTGTGGTGTTCTCTGGACCCCCTCCCCTGAACCGACAGGGGGGATCAGTGGGGGGCACGCACTTGTGTGCTCACACCCGCAAATAGATCACGACATAAGGGTTCGTTGAATTTCCCAGAGCCGCCACTCACCCATTTATTGCAGTCGGGCAGTTGGAAGAAGTTAAAAGAAACTTTAAAAAAAATTCAAACCCAGCCAGTGTAATTTTTTCTCAATATTTTTTTTTTTTCCTAAACATAGTTTTTTTAATTTAAAAAAAAAAAAAAAATACTTTCATCAGAGTAGTTCGATATTACCATAGTAACGTACTACTCTTGGGGGGGGGGGGGGGGGAGCAGCAGGGCAGCAAAAATTCTACATTTTTCTACAATACACTCCTGGTGGGTTGTCGGCAAGTGGTTAATTTCAACTGTATGTAGGCAGAGCAGGTAGTGAAAGTATAATTTCATGTCAAAAAGGAGAAAGGTGACAGGTTTGTAGCACTCTAAAGTAAGCGGCAGTCTCTCAAATATGAACACCCCTTGTAGGTATGGCTTATTTGGGTTTAAAAGTTTCTTGCAAGTGCATGTTTCTTGAACATGACAGTCTCTTGTAAGCATAGCTCACTTTGGATTAATAGCCTCTGGTAAGTGCAACGCATTCTGAATTGACAGTCTCTTGTAAGTGCCACTCTTGTCAAACCAAGTTAGTGGTAGAAGGAAATAAGCATGCTGAGAACAGATTAAGCCGAGAAAGTTTTTTTCACTTCCTGGATGATTATTATATTGTATGGAATATGGAATCTTTTTCAGATTTTCCTCCTCTATATCTAACACCTAATTGTAAGCAATCATAGGCAGATGACAATTACTCATAGAAATATTGAATAATTTCAGGGGAAATTCAAGTGTTTTAAAAAAATTGCTAGCAGGTAGGCTTTTTATTACAGTAGAAGTTCTGTATGTCCTTCTGCCATATACATGTTTACCTTACCTGGATGCAATTTTCTTAGGAATGGGCATGTACTGCTCAGTGTAAAATCTCAGCATGTCTTGGGTTCCAAGATGATTTAACTTCCGCAACCATGATTAAGTGTTAAGTAATCCCAGGCCAGCCAATCAAGATATATACAGTAGTAGTGAGGTAAATGGCAGAATAAGTGTTGTGTATACATAAATGTCTAGGCAGAACAGCAAAATGCTCAAAGAGTCCAGTTGGAGCATTCAGGGTAAACTGATCTCAATGAACCAGATGCAGCACCTCTGAAGAGATGGAAATACCTCTAGGTGAACGTCTTGATGACATCACTTCCGATCTGCTCTGCATCCCACAGAAGCCCTCCGATATCTTGTTGGTTTCCATGTCCTCATCTAAGCTGTCATCTAGCCTGATTTCCAGACATTCCAGGCTGCAAGTTTTAGGAAGAGGCTCCCCATCCCAGATGCATGAGCCAACTGCCCATGTATTACATGCAAAAAGTGTAATTTCTTCCTCCCATGTGAGTTATTATTATACAGTATTTATAAAGCGCCAATGGTTTGCTCAGCGCTGTACATTACAAAGGGGGACAGAACATGTGACAGAACAATACCAATACAATGCAAAAACATGAGGGGATCGAGGGCCCTGCTCTTTTGAGCTTACAATCTAGGAGGGTGGGGATAGTGGTATAGGAGGAGATAGCTGTGGGGGATGGAGTGGTAGGAAGAGTGGAGGAGGTCGGCAATTTGCTAATTTACTAGTGTTTCTCAGTACATTTAATGCTGCACTTAGCTTGGTGCCCCCCAGTTGTGTTCTTATTACTCTCAGATATCTGTCAGTCTATCAAGATGGCTGGAAACACCATTCCTGGTATAGCACGTGTTCCCAGAACAGTTTTCTAACAGACCTTGGACTAAAGTAGTTGACTTCATTCCCCCCTCCCAATTCCCTCAGTTACCACAATTCCTGTTTTTCACTTTCAGCTGAGAGCTCACACCTGATGAGGTAGCTGAGCATGTGAACTACAGGCTGGTGTACAGTCCTCTACTGTTAGTCTTGGTGGGCAGCTGCAGAGAGCATTGATCCAATTGCATGCACAGTACTGGGCTTCAAGTGGAATGGCTCTGTGTCTACTGGTCCTAGATGATCAACTTTATTACCCCTCTGAGATCCCTCCGGCTGTTCTGTTGGGCTACCAGATCTAACTTACTGTCAGGGTCCTGTCCACGGCAGAAGTTCTGGAAGATCTGGCAGTACCCTGCATGGCTGCAGAAGCACACATCAGCCTCAGTTTGGTGCCCTTTATAAGGAGGCTCATCACTTCCTCAAGTTGCTGGATGATCTCTAGCTCCCCGTGCCTTATTCCTGTTTCCTGTGTTATTGTGGCCTGTGATTTCCTGATATCGACTCGGCTTGCTCTTGGACCTGTCTACTCTGCTTAACCCCTGATCTGACCTCGGCTTGGCTTACAGATACTCTCTCTCTCGCTCTCTCGCTCCTCTGTGTATGACCACGGCTATCCCATCTGAGTATGTCTGCTCTGATTCCCACCTGGTACCTGACCTTGGCTTGAACCAGCTATCCAGTAAATCTCTAAATCCCCAAAAGGGCTTGCATACCTTGCACAGGCGCCACCTGTATGCAAACCCACCTCTGTACATCAGCTGTGCTTCTGGGTGGACCACCAACCAGCACTCCTACAGGTGACCTGTGCCACTTTGGGCCTGACTCCCGCTGTCCCACTCTCAGGGGAGTCTGGAACTTAGCCGCAAGGGAAGCCCTCTCTCCATTGGCCTCCATCACCAGGTACGTGATACTTGGACTTTGCTAAATGGGATGTTGTCTGAGAGGGTAAGTGCAAGTAGCTATCTGCATACTGTACTCTTTACTGAAGTAATGATTCCTATCTAGTCTCTGCTACTATAGATCAGGGGTCTCCATACTTTGTAAACAAAGGGTTAGCTTAATGTCCTTCAGACTTTAGGGGGGTCGGATTGTGGCCAGTGGGGGTAGAAAATGTCCCAGCATCAGTGTAAGTAAAGTATACCTCAGGCTTGGTGGTCATCAGGAGTAAATAAAATTACAGAGCGCCTGTGGTCAGGGGGGAGGAATAATGCCCCATTGTTGGTGTCACTGAGGAATAGTGGCCCATCACTGGTAGCGGTGGAGGTAATAGAGGCTGACCACTGGTGTCAGTGGCAGGAACTATGCCCCACTTCAAAGGAGGTAATTTGCAAACTTGCAAAGGTGATAAAATGCTGATTGCTCAGTCAGACTTGAAAGGACTTGGTCAACATCCACTATCTAATAACATGAAAAGGGGTATTATGTATGGTAAATAACATTCTTCAAAGGGTAACTTGTTTATCTAATTAATGGTAAAAGAACGCAGTTTAGGAAATATCGGGACAATAAAGATCACATTGGGAAGCAGGAAATACCTCTGACCGTCGACATCCCTACATGGTCAAAAACACCCTTAGCTGTGTATAAGATGATCATTCTTGGTAAGGTGGAGGTGACAAATGGCACTAACGTACTGAAACAACTGCTACCACAAAGCAGACTCATCGTTAAGGAGAACCAAGTATGGAAAACCATGGACCCTAACTGCTGTACCTGAAGTAGCCAAGCTTGGCTTTGTTCCTGTTCTTTTGAGTGACTGGAGTACGTTGATGGCTGTGCTGATACACATTCTGGAAACTGCATGGTTCAACTGCAGAAATATGAATCGGCTTGGAAAGGATAATTCGTGGAGATGACTCAAAGGTCTGTGCTTTAGGGGTTCTCTGGTTTACTTGGCAGAGACAAGTTCAGTGCCAGACACCTATCACTGGTTGGTGTGTGAACCTCACAGATGGACTGTTGACAATTGGAGATGAGGACATTCAAGCAATATTCCAATGAATTAAG